ATTATTCATACGCTCTTGGGCTAATTTGGCCCGTAGGCGTTTTTGGGTCACTTCCCTTCTAAGCCTAGCTTGTACCTCAACAATTGGGAAGTGTTTACTTCGTTGTTAAAGTCACAGTTAGGTTAGTGATACAGATGAAGTAAACACGCAAGTTGCTTAAAAAGCTGTTTACTAACCGAAAGAGATGCTTAAATGTCACTTACTAAATATACCACCCCCATGTATTAATTAAGCGACACTTAGATTTAAGCTTTTTCAGTTTCCGAATTAACCCTTAACCCTACCCCTGACCCCTGTACCCCATCCCCTACCTACCCCTACCCATCCTACCTTACCCCCTGCCCCTACCTCGACCCCACCCCTGACCCCCGACCATACCCCCATCCCCACCCTGACCCTATCCCTTTACCCTACCACCTACCCCTACCTCGACCCCGACCCAACCACCCCCACCCCTAGCCCTTACCACCGTACACGTGACCATACCCCCTGAACCCCCACATATTATATTATATACTTGTGTGTCTATATATGTATATGGTCATTTTGGACATTTTAATGTTAAATGGTGTTTTAAATTCTTTGAAGTAACATCAGCTTACAACGCTACTTATTTTATGTGCCGCTTATTAACACGAATCTTAATACACACCGTTTAGTAACCCGTAAAGTAAACGTGTCCTTGAAGAGAGGCGGACACTATGTCTGATGTGTCTATTTAAGTGCTCTTTGTATTAGGCATGACAATGGGTCGGGGCGAAGCAAGTACTGCAAGACCCAGACCCGCCCCGTGACTTGACGGGGCGGGTCTGCCCCGCCCCGTGACCTGCACGGGTCCAAATTTGATGACCCATGACCGCCCCGCCCCCCATAACCTAATTAGCTAGTATGTATTTTTATTTGTAAGAAGTTGTTACCAATTGAATCTAAATAAAGTTTATCTCTAAATAATTATTAAAAATTAATATATTAAATCAAATTCATGATACGCTAGAAATTGCAAAAGTTAAGGAAAAATCACTTAGACTTGAATAGTTAATCTATTTAATTATATTAATACTTGAATATATGTATTAAAATGCAATATATAAAGAAGACATTGATAATCCGGTGTTCAGCTCAATCTAATATAAAGAAGACATATGCATGTTGAAGTATATTTGTAGTATAATTTAAGAAAAAGTATGTATATACTTATATATTGAGCGGGTCGGGTCGGGGTGGGTCGAGGCGGCACAGGTCAATACTAATACCCGGACCCGTCCCATTGTATAGGCGGGGCGGGGTGGACCCGCCCCATTTGCAAGACGGAGCGGGCTAGACCCACCCAAATGTCTCGGGCCAGGGCGGGTCATTGTGGCCCGGGTTTTTTTTGACATCCTTACTTTGTATTCGATCTTCCCTCTCTTACTGGTGAAATTATTCATTTTCATTTGTTTGTAAATAATCTGCATTGCTATGCTATCTCGTCCAGTTATGATGACTAGGCAAACAAAAATTAAACACTGTGAGGAGAGAACGTGTGAGTGTAGAAAGGCTCTTTGACATGCTGACTTGGACAAACTACACCTCAAAAAGCCTCTGCATCTATCTCATGATAGGGATTTCATCGCCGAGTTTGCCGCTACAGTGTTCCACGGAAGAAGATTATCGGTCTGCGCGTGGCCTTCAGCTGTCTGGCACCAATCAGGGGAACGTTACGGAGTCTATCTTGGCACAGTGCGGTGCGGAGCTCTCTCTCCGGCAACCAGACACGACGGCCCCTCCTGGAGAGCAGAGAACAAATACAAATTCAGATCCGCGGAATGGTGGTTCTGGGGCTCGATCGTCTCTCCGAACTGCTTGCTGGTCGTGGAATTGGCGAATCTAGGGCTCATCTCTCCAACCAACTTGTGAACACCTAATTTGAAATCTGAAACTTTGTCCCTGGGAGATTATATGGGAGTCTTGTTTAATTTTCTGCAGCAACAACGTGTTCTGTGCATGTAAAAGAAGAAAGACGCATCTTCTTTTTAATATAAATGGCTGTGAGAGGATTACAAGCTTTTTGTGGTGTAAACAAAATATATTAAAATTTAGTATTATTTTGATATATTAAATTCAATATATAGACATTAGACTTGGCCGTTGTTTTGCATTGGAGGCTTCTTTGCTAGTCTAATATCTAGTATTTAGACTTCTTATTACGTGTATAAGAAAGTCTATTAGTTTTTAGACATTTAACATTATTTTTTAAGATTAGACATTCAAGCATTGAGGTTGCTCTTTTAGCTAACATGTACAACTTAACTATTGCCCTTTCCACGACAACTTATATATCTTACTAAAGAAACAAATTCAATATCCATATATTCACGGAATAGGTAAATAATATTTGTATTACTTCAACTCTTAAATGATTTATTTTGGGATGGACATAATATTTGGTGGGATTACATGCATGAGGTTTGATGTTGAGTGACTTGAGTCCTCTAAATTCATTTCTTCACCAAATTCCTAGATTGGTTGAGATGCTCAAGGAGTCAAGGTTTATTAAATTATTTATATTTATTTTGACAATAAAATGAAGATTCTCCAAGATACTGGAAGAAAGATAGTCAATTCTAAAATTAAATAATAGATGAATGTAATAAATTGAAGAGTGAATTACCTAAATAAGAGTAAAACATGACTAAAAATCACAAATCGAATTACATTATTTTAATTTTCCTAAATAGGGCTAATTGTGTGTTTTTGAACAAATATACCCTTCTAGCCTTTTGAAGTGCCTAGCTCAGCCACTGTCACTGGCCACCACAGCCAGCCCTGGGCCACCAATCACCGCCACCGGCATTCGGCCACCGTGCATATGCCCCTGCTGCCGATTTGCCACCTGCCGCTGCCAACCGCCGAATCTACTGGAAATTTTCAGGATAGATTTACCGCCAATTTGCGATGTCGCGTCTCACCTTTTTTCAATTTTTATATACCTTAGATGTTTACTATTTTAATTTCACATATACTTTACACTCTTTTAGTTTACATTAATTTTCTATTTTTTTATATATTTTATGATTGACATATTTTATTTCTGGATAAATTTATAAAATTAAATTCGAAATTTTTGAATGCTATCACTTTTATACATTAAATTTGATTTTTTAGATTTTACCTAAATATATTCCTATTTTTATGACATAATCAATTTTAAAATGAAATATAATTAACTTCCATATTTTAAATGGTCTTGAATCAGTTTATTCACATCAGTTTAACTTCCAAGATTTCTTAACTATTTTAAACTTATTTATTAAATTTTCGGATTTTTATATTTTAGACAATATATATTTTTAAATAAAGTATATTAACTATAAAAAAACTACATTACAAAAATCGAATTTTGTACTGTTTTACAATATTCCCACATCATTAACCATTTTAAGAGATTTACATTTTTATTTTCGTTTTTGTGTTTCTAAGTTTTTTACTTTGCTTTTTTGTTAACTTTCAGTTTTTTATTTCTAATTTTAATTTAATACATATGAATTTTAATGAATATTTACATTTTTAATTAAAAGAACCTTGTGTAATTCATGTAGTACACTGTACACGTGCTTTTCAAGATTATAGGTTCCAGTAGGAGGATTCTATTAGTGAAGAGAAAATTTTAGTTGATCCATTTTTTAAGAACTTTGAAAAGTGTAAAGAGCTAATCCGAGTTAAATTTAATAAAAATTATCACATTTTAAAGGGTATCAATGAAATTAAACCAAACCAATTGATTTAATATGGTAATCATTTCAGTTTACTTGTGAAAGTTGAAATTAATGAGATCAAACCATTGTAATGCAAAGATCGAAAACGTTTATATCCAAAAATAAGATAATACGGAGTAACAACTTGCTGCAAAGAGAGTCACCCAGCTTCCACACCCACTAACTTTTTAGAAAGTAAGCTTGCTATAAATCATCAATAGATCATATACCCAGTGCCCACCCTCTTTATTTGGTTTACATATATCAGGGCCATTTACCCAGTGAAATTTATTTTACCATCTTTTGGTTCCCAAAGAATTTGGACATTTTCCTTTCAGTTCTTATATCATTCACACTTTTGATACTCAAACCTGAGTTTTTCAACTTCTAGTCCTTTGACTATTTTGCGATAGACACTTTATGTACACATCTTTGAAAATTTTCACATTTAGTCATTTGACTTAAAAATGACACTATTAATCCTTCAACTATTATAGCAGTAACATTTTTACTCCTCCACTTATTGTTTCAAAATCATATTGAGAGCATTGCAAATGTCAATTTGATAATACTCTGAGATTAAATGAGGAAAATTTTAAAATCGAGGATAAAAAGTGTCTTGCACACTAATCGAGAACTAAAAAAAATTAAAAATCGAGTACCAAAAGTTTCCTGACACAATATGACAATAGTGAGACCAAAAATGACAAAAACTTCTCACTCTTTTGCTTTCAAGAATAGTACGGAGTAGTAAGTAGTAACACTTTTGAGGATCTTGGCTACAGCTACCGCAATCGGCAATAGTGTAAACTGTAAAGGAACAACTGAAAGCACATAGCTTAACTAATAGAAGCCTCCCAACGTGATTAAGTTTAATCTAAAAACAAAGATAATAACGACTTGTTTCAAATGAGATTGTAAACCCAGGCCAGATCTTAAAATATAAACTAGAAAGTAGAAACATTCATAATAGACAAAAAAACTGTTACTACATAGTACATGGCTCATCACACCACTCCATTAGAAGAAAAAATTGTTATGGTTTTACGGTTTTACCAAATCAAACCAAACATAAACCAAGTCAAATACAATATCAAAATGATAATAGAACCAATCCGAATAAAAGTTAGTAAAAGCTTATCACATTTAAAGGGTATAAATCCAATCTAAACCAAATCAAGCATATTTGATTTTAATTTGGTAATCATTCCATCAACCAATTGTAAACCAAACCAGATCATAAATATAAAGCACACCCCTAACAAACTGAAATTAGAATACCTACTTCTTTAAGAACAATAAAAATGTGATGCTGATTAAAACGGAAAGACAGAGAAGTTCCCACTTATTTTGATCAATTTAAATGCATAGTACAAGAACTTGAACTTGCCCCAGCAACGCAACCTAATTGCACATTAAAATTCAATCTTTTATAAAGTTCATGTACCACTAAACTTTTATAAAAACGATTTCTTTCTCCGTACATAAATGATACAAGTCAGCACCCCTCTAGGTATCATATAAGAGGGAAAGATAAACTCAACACACTGCATCATGAAATGGAGTGAACCAAACAGTTCCGAATTCCGATCATATATTAACTCTCACAGACTAATGGTAGTGTGGTATGGTATGTGAAAAAGAGTCATTCGTACAGGTCACAACTCCTTGAGGGAATTGGTAGAATGCAATGAGCAATAAAATCATTAGTATGGCCGGTAGCGTATTGGACCACGTCTGAACCTTGGAGCTCTCCTGCATAAGAGAGTAATAACTGTTATCTTAATTTTCTACCCCTCAATCCAAAAGATGGAATCGCCCACCCAACCCGCCCCCACACCCTGAACCATCAAATTGGTGGAGGGGTAGATTACTTAATTCTCTACTCCATTATGTGCAATACGCAGACATGTCGACTGTAAAAGGCTAGGGTCTGTTTGGTTCCCTGGATAATATGGAGTACTAGGGAGATTTGAGGGCATATAAAAGATAAGTTCAAAATTCAATAAATTTTGTTTAGAATTCAGATTTAGATATATTTTGTTTAAAGTAAAAAATTATACTAGGGTATGTCCTTTCTGCTAGCACATGAAGGTATATCCAAACATCAGGATTATAATTTTTCTTTGGCATTTGCTGTATTTTCCATTACCTTTTTCTGGATCCAAACATACCCTAAACATATACAAATTAAACACTGGTGGAAAATATAATTCCCTTTGCAACTTGCCCAAATAATGTAAGGAAAAGAAAGAAGTGGGAAGTACAGACATGCAAAACAGAAGCTCTATGAAATGTGAATAGATGTGTTGGTTCTCAAGGGGGTATATAGGTAAATAAAATAACAAAGAGTTACTTGGCATTAAGAGTTTATTGGGCAGTTAGAAAGAAAAAAGAAAAGTGCCAATTAAAGTGCAAATTAAGACCAGTCCAACCAGAAGATAGCCAAATTCTGTTGGAGAAAAACATACTCCCCCACCCCCCAAAAAAATCTCAGATGAAAAGAACCCCCCCCCCCCCCCCCCACACACAAGGACATGATTGACTTTCAATTCTGTGTAAAACTCATATAAAGCCAAGTGCCAAGCAATAACTCCTTGATTGAGTTAACTCCAATAACTCCAAAGTTTTGGAAATAAATTCTAGACAATTTGTAAAATCTTACACCTTGATTGAGTTAACTAAAAATAAAAAGTTATAGCTTACCCAAACAAGACTACTTTTTGGGATGGAGGGAGCAACACATACAATACCTCAACCCAAGAGTCGCAGAGTACCAAAAAACACATATATAACCTAATGAGGAACTGAGAGAAATTGGAAAAGCATGCACGAAGACTTTAAACATGGCAGAATGGAAAATGAAAACAGTTGATTGCTATCATGGTCAAAAGACTATAATGAATGAGCACCCGAAATGATTGACTTTCACAAATAAGAGAATCTCTTTCGGAAAGATGAATATAAAACCAATGCATAAATGGAACTCACCCAAGAGCAAAAGGGGGGAAGGCTACAGCCCCAGGCATATATGGCCTACGGGGTCGGAACCCTAAATAAGGATTGAAGCCTCTAGCTCGATACTGCTTCATACCAGGAACATTGGTTCGCTTGGCTGACACCTGTCAAAACAATAGATTAGCACATGCAGAAAGTTAAAAAAGAAAAAGTTCAAAACCTAATAGGAAGACAACTTAAACTTGAAAGACCTTTAGTTGGCGCCCATGTAGCTCTGATTCATTAAGCAACAATGCATTTTGAATCGCTTCAACTTCCACAAATTCCACATAAGCATATCCTTTAGGTTGACCAAATTTATCGGTTAAGATAGTCACACGGTTCACTGTTCCACAAGACTGAAAATGCTGTTGCACTTCCTCTGGAGTACAGGCATAGTCCACCTGAAGTATAAGATCTTAAATGAGTAAAATGGTATCCTAAATTCATAATACAAGACTTATTTAATTGACATCATGCTTCAGCATCAGGTCTCGGTTATATAAGCTTTTTTGCAGTGAAACTAAAATATGTAGTAGAACACTTAAGTTACTGTTACCACATTAATGAAAATCAAATAGAATTTAAAGATGTCTAGTTACTCAAAATATGCTACTTAAAAATGTATATGATGTGCTGCCTATAAAGTATAAACTATCTCATTTTGCACCCTCTTGCACAAAATACATGTTCCATAATACGGAGTACACAAGACTAGATAGTTACAAACTAAAATGTAATTTTTCATTAAACCTTTCTGAATCTTCTACCTAGTTTGAATTCAATCCAAAACGAAGACATGCACTTCCAATGAAATTATATTACACTTAATTGTTGAGGGAAATAAAAGATATAAACAACTTGCAGTTTGGTGGTGTATCACTCATATAGAATTATAAAAAATATACTCCGTATAATAATATGAAAAAAACTAAGAAGGTTTAAACCTCACATTACCAACATAGATGGAGCGGGAATCCACCTCTTCCTTTTCAGCCTGGCTGGCAGAAGCAGTCGCTGAATCTTCAAACATGTCCATACGTGTAAACAAAATAATAAAATACTACACAAAACTCAACTTCATAATGTCTAATCTAGGAATAACGGACGAGCAAATTAAAGATTACAACTTTACAAGTATTGAGCATTCATTGTCATAAGTATTATCATTCACTTGACCATTATTATCAGAGCCTAACATTTTTTCTTCAAAATAATCACTTCACAAAGTGCAACTTAGGGGGTGTTTGGAACTGATTCTAATTCTGCTTCTTTTTTAAAGCAGAAGCAGAATCAGAATCAATTTTCAGAAGCTGGTACCCCCCAGGCTTCTAAAAAAACTGATTCTGAGAGTACATTAGAGCATCAGAAGTGCTTCTGGAATTTCACCCAAACACTCCAGCTTCTACTTCTGCTCCCTGAAGGAGCAGAATCAGTTTTGAGAATCAGATCCAAACACCCCCTTAATTAATACTTGAATATTATTATGAATTATGTGTCATACATTCTAAAGCACACTCAACCTTAAGTAATACGGAGTATTTGGCTATGAAATGAGAGAATTGCAACTACTATGTACTTAACTAGGTGTACTAACACTTAATAAACTTTGTTTCAGCAAGTGGATTATATTTACTCCCTGAAAGCATCTTCGCATAATAAGTTAGTACCCACAAACCAGTATTCAATCCCTTTTAGCAACTTGGACTATTAACTAAATTGAGCCAATTTAAATTTAGATCCAAATGAATTAGAAATATAAGGAAACACAATCCAGGTTGTTGGGCAGTAGAAACCATTCACCTAGCTAGACTGGACATTCAGGCTCAATCACGGCAACTGGCATATTTTGGAGTTTTTTTAATTGGATTGGTAAGCGTGAAACTCAAATAGAGTTGTTCATGAATATAAAAAAATAATCTTTTTTGAATTTTTTAAATTGTAACTCGAAATTGTGAAAAAACTGGATAAACAAAAATGTGTCTTTTATTATCTTTCTTTAACGTTTTTCTATGTCCATCAAAGCTGCGACTTTGCATAAACACAGGTGACTGCGCATTAAGACAATCCTAGCCACTTGGGCTCTCACAGTGTTGAATCATTTTGGTATTACGCAAATACAATTAGTTGGGTAATCTCACATAATGAAGCACTGATTCTATTTAAAACTAAGAAACTAAATGATTGGTATGAAAAGAAAACAGTCCATCCTAATCTATTTGGGTTGAGATGATCTAAAACCTTGGGCACCACCCATTTCTTTCTCAACTTTAGCTTGCATTTCACGAAGGGCGCCTGATTCCTCCTCAATCTCCTTCAGCCTCTTCTTCATATTCTCCAAATCCTGTTCAAAGTCACCACCACTAACATTAAACCAAAACATTGGCAATTCTGCAAACAGAAAATCAACAGAGATAGAAAGTAAGCCAAACAACTTTAGAATTATTTTCTTCTGTGACCGGGGCAGCTGACATGTCCACGTCTGCATCCATATACTCTTCTTCCCCTATCTTTCCTCCGTAAGCATCTTCTTCCTGCTCCCGATTCTCCATTTCTAATATATTTACTATACCGCAATCAATTATCTCAGAATATTATTCGGAGATTTATATATCTATAGTTTTTAGATGTGACATTAATTGCAGAAATGGAGGCAAATTTGGTTAATTTGAGCTGGGAGCGACGACTTTCTAGGTTTTCGTAGAACTTACGGAAGAATGGAAGATCTCAAGTTAGAACTTAAGTTAATACAGTTCTTTCAGATTTATAAAGCTGGGCCTAACTACATAAGTTTGGAATGGATATCCATCTCAATGGATTGTTGCTGGTCTGTTACCCGCTTTTGGAAAAAGAATGTAGGCCAATATAAGCATTTCACTGGCCTGCACAACAACATCAAGAGCCAAAAGGACATAATTATTTGATTTTCATATAGAAATAACCAACAAAAGGAACTATTTAATTACATCTAGTTTAGAAGTTGCTCCACCAAAATGAAATTAGGCGTCTCTATATAAAATCTAATTTTTAGGAACAAGGAACTCAGAAGGACACAATTTTAGGAACAATCATCTAAACTTATGCAAAGAGCACGCATGGTGTACAACTAAGCTAAACCGCCGCGGCACATTGGTGCTTTGACGTATACTTGAAGTACGCGGAGGACTAAAGCTAATTTTGCCAAAGCCTCCAAGTTCATTAATTAAGTGTAGTTTTCCTTGTCATGTTGGCACGAGAACGCCATTTCTTTCGAAAGATACCCAAGGTTTCATCTTATTGTGCAAAACACTTACGCTTTTTGACCCGGGCTCCCATTCGCTTTTTCGCAAGGTAAGAGGTCTAGCTATATTAATTTTTCACCTTTCGGATTCTTACTAGACATTACCCCATTCTAATCTCGGCCTCACCAAGGAAAAATAGCAATTAAAGTTCATTTATTAATGTGAATCCATGCCTACAATGCAATTCTCGAAAGTATCAAATTCCTTAAAAGTGACTGCTCCTACCCCACTTTGGGGCATAGGAACAGTGCCAAAAATGGCTCCTACACAAATTCCCTAAACTTGACAAATTAATCCCCTAGTTCCCTAAATGCCAAGGCTAAGTCAGAAATATTCACGGGTAAGGAACACGGGCCATTTGGTTATGGAGCTCAATTGATTGGGTAAGGAACAAAATGGTGAGACTCAAAGTGGCTTTTCCTAAAGGACTTTTTCAGGTGAGATGGAAAAATTATGAATTAAATGGGTGACTAATGTCTTCATCCTTTCAATAATTAGATTATATTGCAAGCAATTTAAGCCTAAACACTTCAATGGTGTCCTAAAAGCATAAGTCAATCGTTAGCCAGCTCACAAAGACACAGTTTAAAGAAAAAATTTCAAAAATTTGACATGAATTTCCTATGAATATACAACTAACACCTGCACATGCTAACTCTAAAAATCACATGCAACAACTACTGCCCGAATGCCCAATTCGCTCCCCCACACTTAAACTTTGACATCGTCCTCGATGACCAAATATGCACTATGCACAAGGGGGTAAAGAGGAAAGGGTCACACGTGCTCAATCTTAACTCAAGTCAACATTACAAATAGGCGATTATAAGAGTCGCAGAAACATCCCTAGGGTGCTGGTCGGTGCAGAACTAAACTGAGTCTAAGTGATCCTCGCCACATCATCCCCAAAGCAAGACCCTGAGCTGCAAAAACAAAACACACAAAACACACAAAACAAACAAAACAACAACAAATGTAGAAGTAAGCTCGGGTTGCCTCCCGAGAAGCGCTATTTTTAACATCGTTTGCCCGACGCAACTAACCCACGGGATTCTCAATTAAATACACGTCCATTTAGAAAAGTTGTCCTCCAAATGACAATGATAGATTGATGAAAAGTATGAATAACACGATCCTCACAAATTCTCTGATCGTGAGGACGGATGTTGAAATCTCACACCGTTAAAATATGAAATTATAAATTGTTATATTAAAAATTCTTGAGTATTCCTCCTATCATATTTGAATGAAACCCTATATATTGATAAAGCGTTCAGTTTCTACTTTTAATATAATAAATAGAAATTACCCTAAGTAGGACTAAAGTTTCCCTAAAATTCACAAATAGGCCTACTACTTTTGTATGAATAACACGATCCTCACGAAGTCTCTGATCGTGAGGACGGATGTTGAAATCTCATACCGTTAAAATATGAAATTATAAATTGTTGTATTAACATTCTCGATTATTCCTCTGATCATATTTGAATGAAACCCGATTCCTGAATAAAGCGTTCAATTTCTACTTTTAATATAATAAATAGAAATTACCCTAAGTAGGACTAACATTTCCCTAAAAAGCACAAATAGGACTATTGCTTTTTTAATTCCCCGACTAAGACTAAACATTGATTTCTACCATAAATACCTCTAAGGGTATTAATTCATAATGAAATGTTTAATTCATAACAAAATCGTAAAAAATAATAAAAAATCATAAAAAATATTAATTAGGCGTAAAAAAATTATAAAATAAAATTTTTTAAAAATATGTTTTTTGGTTTTTTAAAATTAATAAAATATAGTAAAAAGCCATAAAAATGGATACTTTTCCCACTACTTCCGGTTGGTAAAAATTCTGCCATTTTTTCTGTAAAAAATGCATTTGTTCCCGAAAATGTAAAGAAAATACTCCCTCAATCCCATTTTGTAAGATATGTTTCCTATTCACTTGAATTGGTTAACACAAATCACTCTTAATCTCTTAATTTATATATCAATTTTTTATCAAATTCAATTCTAGTTTTTGCGACTTTGTAAAGATTTAGATGTAGTTTCTGAGTATGTAGTTTTTTAAAAAAAAATCATTTGAATGTAGACAAGGATCCGTTAGCTTTATCGTCGGTCAAACATCGTAAACCGTAAAGTTTCTTACAATTCAGGACGGAGGGAGTAGCATTTGTACTCTACATAATGCTAAAATTTTCATTGAATCTGCTACTATTGTGGCGTTACTAAAAATGTAGGCTGATTTCCTCCGGTGATATGATGGGAGCTGGTGGTGTTGGGGGTGGCAAAGGCGGCAGTGTTTTTTTACATTTTTTTAATTTTTTTATATTTTTAATTTATAATTTTTTTTTATTATTTTTTTATTTTTTACATTTTTTATTTTTTACGATTTTTCTATTAATTAAAACATTGCAAAAGTTACAAGGGTATATTTGTTCCAACACGCATAAATAGTCCTAACTCCTAATGGAGGAATTTTAAACATGTAGTCATATTTGTGCTTTTTGACCACTTTTTGTCCTATTTAGATAATTCACTCTTAATTGTGCAGCGCTCTCGATGCAAATTAAAAAGGGTGATCTCATCTTTTTTACTATGTTGTACAAACCGGAATGTGTGGCAACCCAGACGAATGATCGGGTCACGGGTCAACCCGGACCCGGCGGGTCAACCCGGTTAGCGCAAGAAAATCCGTTCAACTAATATATAAAATTTATAGTAATAAATATATATTAATATGTGCATATATAAATTTAAAAAATGCATTATTCACCATAATAATCTATTTCATCATCAATTTTGTTATATTAAAAAAGTTACGGAGTATTTGATACTACGTATTTGTTTTAGTTTTAATACTTTTGAATATTTTAATATAGTATTAAATAAAATTCTTAGGCATTTTTTAACATTTAATACGGACTATGTAGCATACTTTGTTCAAATATAAATTGAAAATACTACAATGTAAAATGTTAAAATTAAAGTGTATATAAAAATTTCAATGTATCTTTATATTATTATTATAGGGAGAACTATCAAATAAGCTCTCGAACTTACATAAAAAGTGCAAATAAGCACTTTTATAAGAGGCTCTGTCCGGACGTCGCCATTTGGGATGGTTCCCGGTTGAATTTTTTGATGAAAGTTTTTGAGCATCTTATTCATTAAGTCTAGTTTACGCATACCAAATATCAACTAAATATTCAATCGGAAAGGCACTCAAATGAATTTTTGAAGATAACTGCGCAGTTAAACAACGCAATATACTTCAGAAAATCATTTGACTGCCTTCTCGGTTGAAGTTTTAGCTCAAATTTGGTATGGGTAAATTAGACTTAATGAGGAAGATGCTCAAAAAATTTCATCTAAAACTTCCACCAGAAACCACCCCAAATGTCAACGGCCGAGCAGAGCCTCCTATAAAAGAACTTATTTGCACTTTTTATGTAAGTTTGAGGGTTTATTTGATAGTTGATTATGTACTGATTGATACATACGTGGTACTGGCCTACTCGGTGGTAGTAATACATAGTAACCCGATAAGGATAAATACCGCTGAAGGGATAATTGTAGCAACAACATCCCGTGGTTAGTTGGTGTCGCTCTTGAACGTTGATGTGATGAACGCGGGTTCGAAACTCAGCCGAAGCGGCATTTCAATATGCTAAAATTCGGGTTTCTCGGGGTTTCCGGTTCATTGACTGTCCGGTTCAGGGGTTTAAACATAGCCTTGTTACAGTTTTCACATGAAATTTGGCACGGATTTAACGTATCCGTGTCACATTCGTGCCAAATACCCTATAAATTTTGAATAATTTATGCCAAATATCAGTACCAAGTCCGTGCCAAATATCTGTGCCAAATCCGTGCCAAAATTGTTGTTTTTTGTAGTGATGCATGGGTTCAAGTAGTTTGAATCTTGCTCATATTTTTCTCTTTCAAATGCTCTATTTTCATGTTCAAAACGATATACGTAGTATCTAATTAGACTGAGAATGAGAATCGTCACATGTGCAAGAGCCCAAATCAGCACTAATAATTTATGATCTGCCAATTAAGCTAGATTTCTTCAATTGGGATGCATGAACATCTAATGATGTAAGGAGAAGGATAATTTGGGGATGATGAGCTGATAAAATAATATTCAAATAAGTGTTCACACAAATTTTTTATACAAGAAAATAAAGCATTTATCAAATTTGAGCTAAGGTTGGTTGGAGCTCAACATGTTTCTCTACCACTTCTTTGAACTTGCTGAGCCCAAAATTGACCCGCTCCAATGATCCGACCCAATTAACTTTTATTCATTTGTGATCCCATTATATAAAAGTATTGGGTCTGTCACCTGAATTGGGAGCGGCCTCTTGTCAAAATGAGAAGAGAAATTAAAGTTTATTTTCGTACTAGCCTTGTTACAGTTTTCACATGAAATTTGGCACGGATTTAACGTATCCGTGTCACATTCGTGCCAAATACCCTATAAATTTTGAATAATTTATGCCAAATATCAGTACCAAGTCCGTGCCAAATATCTGTGCCAAATCCGTGCCAAAATTGTTGTTTTTTGTAGTGATGCATGGGTTCAAGTAGTTTGAATCTTGCTCATATTTTTCTCTTTCAAATGCTCTATTTTCATGTTCAAAACGATATACGTAGTATCTAATTAGACTGAGAATGAGAATCGTCACATGTGCAAGAGCCCAAATCAGCACTAATAATTTATGATCTGCCAATTAAGCTAGATTTCTTCAATTGGGATGCATGAACATCTAATGATGTAAGGAGAAGGATAATTTGGGGATGATGAGCTGATAAAATAATATTCAAATAAGTGTTCACACAAATTTTTTATACAAGAAAATAAAGCATTTATCAAATTTGAGCTAAGGTTGGTTGGAGCTCAACATGTTTCTCTACCACTTCTTTGAACTTGCTGAGCCCAAAATTGACCCGCTCCAATGATCCGACCCAATTAACTTTTATTCATTTGTGATCCCATTATATAAAAGTATTGGGTCTGTCACCTGAATTGGGAGCGGCCTCTTGTCAAAATGAGAAGAGAAATTAAAGTTTATTTTCGTACATCCTTGTGATGGACTGATGGGATGCCAATGTGTTCAAGTGTTTTAAGCGTTACTTATATCTCTAGCAATATCAATCTACTTCCTCCGGTTCTTAATTACCTTTACATTTTCCTTTTTGGATCGTCCCATATTAAATTTTACACTTTCTTATTTGCCTTATTTGGCAAACAAATCTACACCAAATAGTGCCAAACAATGTCAAACAATGCTAAACAGTGTCAATCAGTGTACTTTACAGTAAGATCAAATTTATTTCATTAATATATGTGAAGTCATGTAACTTTATAAAAAATCAAAGGGAGTAATTTACAACTATCTATATACTCCAATACTCCACCATAACGAGATCCCAAGGTTAGTCTTGCTTGTAGTTACCGTCGTACGTGGTGGGAGTCCCGGACATAAGCGACATGGGTTGTGTCCCATGATCCACTATTTTACAATATAATTGCCCATAAAATTAAACTACCTCCGACTCTAAAAAGCAAGTTCCCAATTTGTTTATCAAGATGTACCAAAATAAAGTTCGAAGTTACAATCACTTTTATTGATTTGACATAAACAAAAATTTGTGTTAGTAAAATTGATTGCTTCTAGAATGAATCTTAATCGTTCTAGAATCATTATGTCCCAATAAAAGAGTTTCATGTTACACTAAAAGATGTAACTTTAGATGGTGTCATTTTTTAAATACTTGTCAAAATCCCATGTTGTACTAAAAGATGGTTAGAAAATTGTCATTTCTCATATTAAATTAGATGCATTTCTCATTGCATGATTGATGATGTTTTTTCTTAGACTGAAATTTGTTGGTATGGTCTGGTATGAATTGGTCCGATAAACGTTTAATGTCTGTGTATTTTATAACTGTCCAAATCTGGTTTGATCTGGTTGGACCGAAAACAATCCAAAAACGTGATGAACCAAAATCTTATACTTTCCCGCTCCTAATAACTTTGCAAAGTAACACCGTCTATAGGATTTCGGAGGCCCCTGATGGGATTACACATACTACGGAAATGTCATAGCTATCAATTTATATTGTGTGCAAAAAACATACTCCCTACAATGTTACAATTGGAGATCCATTGAACTAAAAGACAAAATATGAGAATTACTGCACGGAGAGAGTACGTAAAAGAAAAAAGAATTCAACTAATTTGAACCGTATATATCGTTTTAATATATATTGATACAATAATAAACCTATCAAGCTCAGAGTATATATTACTGTATTATTAATATATATGTATATATGTGGCTAGTACAAATGTTACACAAATTAAAGTTAAGGTGTCTTCCATGAATCCACACAGTTAACATGCTGCGACCATTGAAACGCGGCTGTCCGGTTGCCGTCGCCGGAGAAGCTTTTAAACCTCCGCCAGTCGTGAATGACGGCCGTCAGGTCCGCCAGCTTGGCGGTTATGGTCCGGCAACAATTGGCATGCACCGTCACGACCGACTCAACATCCTTAGTGTCCTGACAAAACCCGCTGAAGAATCGGGTATCCAAGAACCGAACTTTGAGCCCTAACTGGGTGAGCGTGCCTTGGCGGATCAACTTGTTCAACACGTCTTGTTCCTTCATTCCGTCCGAGGAGTTTTTCATGGCGTACCAGGAATCGAACAGGGAGATGGTTCGGTTGTTGGGCCGGATCATGTAAAACCCGGTGTTGATCGGGTTCGATTCCGACCGGTCGTCGCCGTTGAAAATGTCTGTACTGATTTGGAGGTCTAGGGTTTCATTTGTGCTCCTCAATTTAGCGAATGGATCTCTTAGCCATAGAACATCACTATCCTGCATCATGTCATCAAATGTACATATCACATCCTTTCCCTTCAATTCTTTCATGCCACTTTGATTTCATACACCAATAAAATAACATAGCACAACTTATTCAAACTATTTTAGGAGGATTTTACTATTATCTAAATGATCTAGTCTAATCCAATTAAAAGCATCCTAGTATCCTATGTTGTTTAGCCAAATACTCGTCCATCCTGGTTTTAAGTTCTTACTTTCCTCTTTGGACGTATATAATACTCCCTCCGTCCTAAATCGTTTTGCAAAGTCAACATTTTTTGTTCAACTAATAATAAAAGTCAATACTCCGTATTGATAATTAATTCAATTTTTAATAATTAAAATTTACATATTAAGAAACTACATTAAAATCTCTTCAAAGTTGCAAAGCCCAAATTAGAATATAATTACAAATTGACATCCTAATTAAGCCAATAAAATGAAACTGTTTGACCAAGAAAAGTCAAATTTGTAAGTCAATTTGGGACGGAGGTAGTACGTAGTAAAGATTTTCATTTTTTTTTTGAAAGAATAAAAAATTTCATTTTTATTTTAGAAAATAATTAGCATTCTTAAATAACAATTTTATCCAAATAACAATTTTCATTTTTATGATGAAATTGTTATTTAAGAATGCTAATTATTTTCTAAAATAAAAATTAAAATTTAGAAATGCAGTTACTTCTCAAAGTATACACAGAAAATCTTATTTAATTATTATTCAAATATATAACTGTGTCATTTCTTTAATTAGAAGTTTAATTTGGGACGTTGGTTAGTAATACAATACGTACTCCTTAGTAAATAGTGCGGAGTATATTTAGCATAGGGAAAACTGTCAAATATGTCCTCGAACTTTCATAAAAAGGTCAATTATGATGTCCGGCCGTCACGATTTGGGGCAGTTCCCGGTGGAATTTTATGATGAAATTTTTTGAGCATCTTATTCACGAAGTCTAGTTTACTCATACCAAATTTCAGCTAACATTTAATTCGGGAACACATTCAAATTAATTCTTGAAGATAAGTGCGCATTTTTGTGTTCTCGAATTAATTTGAATGCGCTCCCGATTAAATTTTTAGCTGAAATTTGGTATGAGTAAACTAGACTTGATGAATAATATGCTCAAAAAATTTCATTAAAAAAGTTCACTGGGAACCGCCCCAAATCGCGACGACCAGACAAAGTCTCCTATAGAAAGATTTAATTGACTTTTTTATGAAAGTTTGAAGAATTATTTGACAGTTTTTCCTTTAGCATATATAACCATATCATCGATAGGTATTATTAATAGGTAAAAGTGTACAATTCTTATTGTGTTTAAACTTTGCTAGCACATGAGTACTTGACATGTATATTTAGGATTAATCAATTCTTAAACTAGGACTAAAAGCATGTAAAAGAGATGAGGAGACGACAAAAAAACCATACAACTTCGCATGTTTTAGTTAGGATCTCAAATTAGATCACACCAAACATAAACAAATGATATCAGATTAGATGAGACCTAAACATATTATATCAAATAAAATTTTGACAAATGTGAATTGTGAAATACACATAAAACGGATATTTACTAGACTAGATAATTTCATATCAGACCGGATTTAAATAGATCAGACCGTCCAGATTATAACCAAACTAGAAAGTTTCAGTTCAATTCAAAACACCATTCCACCTTCAGAAAGCAACCACCATCAGGACCATTGCCACTTTGAGTAGCCACTCCCACCCGTCACCTGGCCCGGCTTAAACGGTTTGTTTAAGTTTGACTGATTTAATATAACAGTATAGTGTATAAGTAATTTGCGTTTTTACTATTGTCTACGCTTGATCTATGCATATGTTTCGATCTGATCCATTTTGGGAGTGAAATATGCACAGGTGAATACGTCCTAAATGGTCCGTTGTTGAAACAAGTCTCGAAGTTGGTCAAGTAATTCACCAAAATAATAATAAAAATTAATGTTTTATACTTTAATAATTTATTTATTGGATTGGTTTCAATATCAGATCACGCCATATCAGATCAAACATAAAAATTATAGACTAAACTTAATTAGATCAAACTTAGACATCTATAAAATATGCACACATCAGTCCTTTAAAATACCAAACTAAAGTTAAACATATCAGATCACATTTAAACAAGCATTTAAATAAATCATACTCCATCCGTCCCGCTAAGATAATCCCACTTAAATTGTTCCATACCAAATTTGATAAAGTTTGTAAGACTTTAAATCATTCTTACTTTATTCTTACTTTATTGATCAATTCAATATCAACTACCACTTTTCCTAATCACCGTGTCACTACCTCTTGTCTCAATGTTAGTGAGACAGAGGTAGTATCATATAAACAAAACAAATCAAGTGCAAATAAAAGCATCTTAAATTTTACATTGCTACTCCGTATTTTTTTGCAATCACTCTCATGCTTTCCTTTATTCCTGTACTAGTATCTGACCCGTGCGATGCACAACACATAATATTGTATATAAAATTAAACGCGAGAAAATGATTTCGACTTATAAAATCGTCAGTGACAAATATTACAATAGTTTAAAAAGCTTATTCACATTTAATTTATCTGCTCATTTATTGATTAAAAACTTATTCACTAACAACTACATTAGGGAATTGCGTAAGACACTATGAAGTACGGAGGAGTTAACTTAGTAGTTTCGATAAGGTGAAATGGTAAATTATATAATTTAAAAAGCATTTTAGAACTTTTTTGATGTATTATTATGAAAACTCTCGATTAAGGATATTTTAATCTGATTGAAAGTTTTTAATCAATAATGAAATAATTAAATGACATTATATTGTAGTAACTATTAGTCATATTTGTGTAAATAAGTTTTTATTTTAGTATTACTTTTGAAAAGACCCATCAAGAATTTAGATCACTGTAAATTATGTTCAATTTTTTGAACATAAGAGACCGTGATACTATTGTAATAACTATTAGTCATATTTGTGTAAATAAATTTTATTTTTATTTTTTTGCGAGAAAAAATAAGTTTTATTTTTGTACTCCTTCACTTCTATAAATTAATCTATATGTACATGTTAAAATTTTTAGTACAAATAATAGTTTATATTAATTACCTTTTATGTTACTTTATTTTATTACCAATTACATGGAGACTAAAGTAACATTAATCACAGAATGTTGAATGATTGCGATTTCTAAAATATTTATATAAATCAATTTATATCTACATGCTAAGTTTTTTACTACCAATTTATACTCCCTCCGATTCCTAAACAAGTTCCACATTTGACTTCACACATATTAAGAAAATAAATTTGACTTTACTGTGGAGTGCACTGTTTGGCACTGTTTGAACACTGTTTGGCACTGTTTGACACTGTTTTGATGTAGATAATAAGGAAATGTTTGAAAGTGGAACTTAATTTTGAATCTGTCCGAAAAGGAAAGATGGAACTTGTTTCAGAAACGGAGGGAGTAATATACAATAATTGATATTAAACCATTTATGTGGAATAGAAGTAAAATTGGTGGAGCAAGAAAGTGAATGGGTGTGGTAAGTGTAATATGTGACAAATGCTTAAAGGAATGACATATGGCAAAAACTTTCACCAATATGACTCTTAAATTTATAATATATAGATATATATATCGAAATAGATATAAGATTACATTATACCTTGCTCCTTAATTAATCGGTAACGTTTTATCATAAAGTTCCGTGTGAATGTCTAACATTATTGGTATAAGTATTATCAAGTTTCCGTAATTGCCTATATGCATTAACAACCCCATAAAGATATTGTAGCATCACTTGTAAATTAAGTTTCCATACTTGCGTGGACGCAGTTTTATCTATTTTTGTGCATCGCTATAGACACATAAGTTTGAATTTCCCTGAGGCACTTCTTAAATCATACCTATAATTACTTGTACTGATTTTAATTGATCAGTGTTTGTATACTAAATTAATTAAAATTATTAAAATGTTAACCCTAAGTAATATAGCTTCAGCATTGGATGAATGAACTATATTCCCATATTTCTAATTTTCCATAGTATACTAAGCTAGTATACTATAAACACCATTAAATTAAAATTGAAAAAATAAAGCATTTTTTTGGGAAGTTTTGGATCTAACCTATTATAGTATCTGTTCTATGTTAATTAAGATCAATATTTTTGAACTGGGATGAGTCGGAACCTATGACCTTCTCTTTGGAAGTGTAAAAAAATAAAGCAATTAGCTAGAAAATATGGAGTTATAAAGAGAAGAATAGAACAATAACTAAATTATTAATAAATAAAGCATACCGTAAAGATGAAGGTGTAACCGAGCTTGAGAACTTCGCCCAAGAATTGAGTCCTTCTCCACATCATCTTTATGAAATCGGCGGACATATACAGTTTCTCTCCGACGAAATCAACGCCGTCCGTTTCCAGCTTGTAGCAATGCAGTCCAAGAAACATGCAGCGTTCGTACGACGTTTGATCGACGGTCACGATCAGCAAATGTTTGACCAACTTCCTAGTACCTTCTCCTAGCCAGAAACCATCCAAGAAGAGATCCAACATCGGCTTATCGCCTTCCACGTAAGCTTTATTTACGACGGCGATTATCACCGTCTTGTCCTCCGTGCAAGCCCCGGCTAAGGCCTCGTCAAGCTTATCTCTGTAAAGCACCATTCTATATTGACTCTGTTTGGTCAAAACGAACAAGATTGATACGAAGATAAAATAATAAATATAAATATGTAAAATTATGCATAAATATGCATAAGAAAAATTGGTTGATTATTGAATAAGATAATTGAATAATAAGATAGGGAAGAGATTACATACGTTATTGGTCATTGGTGAGGAATGGGAAGGAGGGTTTTGGGTGGGAAAGATGGAGATGAGGCTATTGTTGGACTGGGTAGGGTTAGTTGAGATCAGAATGTAGAAAACTCCAAAGAACAGAAGAGTATATACAAGAAAATGAGAATAGTCAGCTGCCCAGAAAATCTTGGTACAATCCGCCATATGTGCGGCGGCTGGCGGCGATTGGTGGATGGAATTCTTGATTGTGGCCGCCGGGGCTTTTATGGTGGTTTGATGGTTGTAGCTAGGGGTTTTAGATGATTGTGTTTTGGATGATCACTGAGTGTTGGATTTGATTTCAAATACTCATGGTAGGTTTCGATCAAAACTTTAAAACTTATATACACACACATGTGGATTACTAGATTAAGAATATTGTGCGAATTGAAGAGACCTTCGCTTTAATTTGTACACACACATGAAGACTTTTGTAACCTACACTAGGCTAATGAATTCACAAAGTTTTATTATCTTTCCATTCTAGAATTCTGAAAATTATATCGTGAGAACGGCTCATCAATTGCGTTTTATCGTTACGGCACCACTTTAAGTAACAAAAGTAATTTCTTAAAAATGAAGATGGTCTTGAAATTAGGGCTGGGAGAAAATACCCAAATTTCGATATACCGCATTTACCTTATCGAAAAATACCAGATTTATCAAAGATTTAGGTACTGACATTTTCAGTATAATATGGGATCGTTCCAAATTATTTTGATATTATATCGATATATGTTTTGAAAATAAAAGGTATACCACAGTATACCGTTATACCGAAAAGTCTATTCAAATATTTTTTTAAAAAATATAAAAATGACTAAATACACAACGTCATATTAGGCATAAATGATTTTACATCCATGTTGTTTGAATAATTTTATTTTTTTTTGGTAGAGATCACTTTTGGTTTAATTATATCTATATTGTTTAAGTTATTTTAGGAGAATGTGTTATTTTTCAATACATGGCATGTTGAACTGCTTAAATAAATAAATAATAAAAATTAGGGATAATTTGAATTTGCACCCTATTGCATTGTCCAAATTGAATTTTGCACCTCGTAGTTAAAAATCTTTGTTTTTGCATCCCAACCCAGTATGAAAAGACAAAAATGTCCCTCAATCAGAAATATGTTGAAGCCCAACAAAATTGTTAATGGAAGGGCATTTTTGTCTTTTCATATGGGATTGGGGTGCAAAACAATTCAAGATTTTTAAAAGCGGGGTGCAAAATCAAATTTGGATAATAAAATGAGGTGCAAACTCAAATTTCCCCTAATTATTATTCAATATTGAATATGGCATCAATGGATTATTATTTGTATTTTGTAACATTTTAATAATGGATTAAATGTCAATAGTAACACCGATTTTGTATATTTTGTTAGTCTATGATAATTTGTTGTATTGAGAAACATGCATGGTAATATACTGATGACGTACTGTTACCGAACTGAAACTTTGGTATACCAAAACACAGTATACCGAAATTTTGGTAAGGTAACAGTATATAAATTTTGTATACCAAAAGTTTTGGTGCGGCAAAAGTATGAGAGAAAATATTACGTATAGTGATATGAACTAATTAGTAGTGTACAAATATATGTTTTTGTGTTTTGATTTGTGCTGATAGTTTGCCTTTATTGTGAGTTTGCAAACATTTGTGTGATTTTAGTTGTAATTGTTTTTTAGCTTTCATTTGTGAGTTGTAAAGTAGTACTCCGTAATATAATTGGTGGTATTGGAAAAGGAGAAAATGTTTTGAATATTGATCTGCCAAGGAGCAATACCTGGTCGGGTAGGGCCCTTCACCCAGTCAGGTAAGATGTGAAAACGGAAGCTGCTTGGAAATTATACTCATACCCGATCGGGTATGCACCTACAGCCGGGCGGGTATGACTTGACCCGGACAAACAGAAGTGCTGAAAACACAAGAACGTGGAAGATTGGTTCAATTTTGATTGATACCCGATCGGATATGACCAAGACCCGGTCGGGTACCCGGCCCAAGGTGTTGAAAACACCTATAAATAGCACACTTTTCCTTCACTTTTATTCATTCCTTCTCCATATACTTAAGCTCAACTTAGAATAGTATTTTCTTTATAATTTTCTAACATTGTTTAGTATCAGAATCAGGAGTTAAACTTCCATTTCTTGGTTTTGCTCTTGAAGCTTGTTGAATGTTTAAGTTGTGAGTTATTTTCTTACCTTATTCTCTTGAATGTTAATTCTTCCCTTAATATTATTTCTATATTAATGTTGGGCTGTTGCTAAGTGACGTGCCCTTGTCATGAGGTGCACTCAAAATAAATACAATACAACGATTATACGTAGTATAACGAAGTAAGGTTCGTATCCACAGGGAAAAGAATACTTTTCTTCTATATAAGTAGTAACAAAAGGGCGGGGTTTAGATTTGTTTGATTTAAAGAATACTAAGATGAACAACCTATATGAGTTTGATTAATAGATGTGGAGACTTGGTTTTGCTTTTATCCACTTAATGAAATGTTCGTCGATCCCGGTTATATCTTTTACTATCTTCCTCTCGAATACTCAATCGAGGAGTATATCCAGTTCATCGAGGGTAGTTATTAATAACGAGATGCGTTCATTAATAAAACTTACTATCGAGTCAATATAGAACAAGCGTTGTATTTTAACTTGATAGTAGCAATAAACTTAAGATGAAATCGATTGAGATTGATAACCTCAACACAAGCTGTTTATTGGTTTAATCAATATAATTAATTCCCCTTGACATATTAACCATGAGATGCATGCATTAATAATCCAAGTTTACTATTGTTGAAAGAACTGGATTAATAACAAGCGTATTAACCGATTGATTCTAGTAATAATTAATATGACAAACAAAACTAGTTGATACTTTAAGTGATGTTCAAAATATTAACATGAAATATGAATAGGAATTAATTAATACTCAAGGAAGAATATTAAAGAATATGAATCCTACTATGATTAATATCAAGATGTTAACTAATTGTCATTTTAGTAACACTCCCCAATATTAACATAGAGGAAGAAATAACTATTACTATAACCAATGTCAAGATGTTAACTAATTGTCATCTTAGTAACACTCCCCAACTTTGATACAGAAATAGTATTTTAAAAGAAGAATTAATATTCAAGGAAGAAGATTAAAGAAAATAACTCACAACTTACAAATTCATTAAGCTTCAAAATAGCAAAACCAAGATAGAAGAGTTTAGCTCCTCATTTGGAGACTAAACATAATGAAAAATATAAAGAAAGAACTATTCTATACTGAGCTTAGATGTACAAAGGAATTGGATGATCAATTGTGAAGGAAAGGAGGTGTATTTATAGGCTTTTGGGATGGGATTCGGGTACTCGATTGGGTATATACATGGTACCCGATCGAGTATGTGTGTAATATCAGATTTGAGGTATACTCGATCGATTTTAGGCTATGTTCCAAAGGTATACCCGATCGAGTATAAGTTTATACTCGGTCGAGTATGTGTAGAAAGTGATATTCGAGCCATACTCGACCGATTTTGCATTTAAACTCAAAGGCATACCCGATCGGGTATGTCGGTCTACCCGATCGGGTATAGACACTCAATCGTGGCCGAAATCTTCCCGACATGTTCCCTTGTCTTCGGATCTGATCCGATTTGAAGTTTCAACCTAATACCCGATCGAGTATAGGTGATACTCGACCGAGTATAGACCAAAATTTCAGGATCCTTCTTTTGTCTTCAAATTATGCACCTTCCTTCCACTTTTTGGGGTTCAGCAACTGTCCTTTGAGTGATCAAGACCTATTTGAGCTCAGAATATACTTAATCTAAACTATTTACAAGAATTTAATAAACTAAACTATTACACCAAAAGTGTGTAATTTCCAAAGTAAAAATCAATCGAAACTAATTAAAAATACAAACATACATATGGAAATTACAAACGTATCACTAAGTGACGATTAGTTAACGCTTTGAAAATAATTGTTACTAGAAACGATCAATGAACAAATGGTTAATCATTGATGGTTTCACAAGTAAGTAGCTTCGGCTTATTAATGCACGGTCATGGTTAATAACCTTAATAGGGATTAATTGTACGTGTTGGCCTGGTTAAACCGAAACCGTTATGTTGAGGTTATCAATCTCAGCTGATTTCATCAAGGATTTTAAAAAGATTAAAAGCTAATATTAAGTCGATATATGATGATGCTCTATATTTGACAAATAGTAAGGGTTGTTAATGACGGTCTCGTTATTAATATCTATCCAGTGAGTTGGATATACTCTTCGTTTGAGTATTTGAGAGGGGATAAATTAAAGTAACATCCGGGATCGACTAACATCTCAACAAGTGGAAAGAAGCAAAGTCAAGTTCTCTATCTCATTAAATTAAAATCATATAAGTCGTTCAACTTAGTGTTTAAATTATTAAATCAAATCAACCCTAAAACCCCCCTTTTAATTATAAGTTCCATATAATAAAAGAAAAGTATTCCTTTCCTTGTGGATATAGACTCTACTACATTATACTACGTATATGTATTAGTATTGAATTTATTTTGAGACACATACAACTTTAGTGCCGTCAAATTTGACGCCGTTGCTGGAGAAATGCAATTATTTTTTTTATATGATAAAAGTATAAAAATTTCTTACTTTTTCTGAGCTTTATTTGAGTATATGGTAAAATCCGATTACAAACCACTCACTGACGAGCATTTTGTCACGGTGCGTCAAAATAAATTCAATACTACCACTTATACGTAGTATAGGTGAAGTAGAGTTCGTATCCACAGGGGAAGGAATAATTCTTTTTTTATGAAACTAGTAAATAAAAGGGGAGGTTTTGGTGTTGAATGATTTAATTTAATTAAAAACTAAGATGAACAACCTATATCTGTTTTAATTCAAAGATAAAAGAATTTGGCATTGCTACTTTTCACTTGTTGATACTACCTCCGTCCCTTAAAACTTTGCCAAAGTTGATCGGCACGGTGAATAATAAAGTAAAAACCGTGTAATTGAGGTTTGTGCAGAGAAGAGAGAAATACTAGAAACCACAAATAATTGATTAAAAGGGAAAGTGGCAAAGTTTTTTGGGGCGTCCCAAAAAAGAAAGATGACAAAATTTTAAGGGACGAAGGGAGTATATTTTAGTCGATCATTGTTATATCTATAACTTATTCCCTCTCGAATACTCAATTGAGGAGTATATCCAATTCATCGAGGGTAGTTATTAACAACAACCCTTCATTAATAACCCTTACTATTAGTCAAGTATAGAACATCGCCATATA